CTTGCACAAAGAAAATGAAAAGATAATTTGTGGAAATTATCTGATAAAATGTTTCTGCGAACCAGTTTTGGCCTTCAGGTCCTCAAAGTCAAAGATCGCCACTCCTGTGGTTTCACTCCCCGTTCCAGCCGTAGTAGGAACTTACGCATACACAGGCACACAAAATGTACATTAAAAAACTTATGTGTATAATGTATCAGCATATCTGCACTACTTTTTAAATGGTTGGTCTATGGCTAATGGTTGTTAATACTGAGAGAGACAGAAAGGGAAAAAATAAAAAGTAATATTGAGTTTGTCTTTGTACCAGCGATTAGTGGCTTCAGTGTGGCTGTGATGGGTTTTCCTTTTCCGATTGGTGCATTGGCAAAGTCTAGAAATTCTGCCTCTGGATGAGATGCATAGAGATTGGCTGCTTTACAGGTATCAATCACAGAGTCCCCGCCCACAGCAACATCCACATCAAAATGTCCTTTTTTGGCTAAATCAATCGCTGCTTTAAAGCTGTAAAGAGAAAAAGTTGCTGCTTTCACACACTTCTTTCACACTCTCAGACGCTTATATGGACATCAACTAAAACTGACAACAATCCGCACTTATTCTGTGCCATAGTTTCACCTTTTGCCTGTTGGTTCTACTCGCACATCCTCATAGATCTTGTATTTGACTCCATGTTTTGTCAGTAAGTCCAGCACTGCTCCAACCGGTGGCAGCTGAGACAAGGTCCTATCCGTCATCAGACACACATTACGTGCTCCCATATTCTGCAAATCTGATTATATCAGCCAAAACAGCAAACTTCACAACCAACAACCGACAACTTCAAAGCTAAACTGAAATCAACTGAAAAGGCACTTTCTGAGCAATATGCAATATTATGAGCAATAATAGAGTCTACTTAATCAGTTCAGTGCTTGCAAGTGGAGCACATACAAAAACATGAACAACATAAGGGTGAATAAATGATGATATAATTTAATTTTCAGGTGAAATATTCCTTAACCACGCCAATTTCTCTGGTAACTCCAGCTCCATATCTGATATTTGAACAAGCCATCTGAAACAGAACAAGAAGAATGAAAAGGATAACCACAATAATAATAATATTTATAATTATTTGAGTATAAAAATCTTTGACGTTATGATGTAATACCTGGATATTCAGACTCACAGTTATACTGACTGACTGACTGACTGACATTGATTAAGAAAAAAATGTTTCACTATAAATAACTGTAAATCATGTAACATGGCATAAAATAAAATATTTAACACTGTTTTAAAAAGTTATAAACAAGTGGTGAAACTATATTTCACAATGCATAACTATCGAATATTAAAGGGGTCATATGATGCGATTTAAATTTTTCCTTTCTCTTTGGAGGCCGCGCCGTTCTCAAGCACGCCGGCCGCCCGCCGTGTGTGACGCTGTGTGTTTCGTTGTGAAAGCGAAACTACTTTGTTTGGCCTTCCAAAAG